AGGCTGTGGGCACACACCCTGCACCACCCCTCCTGCCACTGCCACCACTGCACCCGCTGGGGTTCCTCATTGCGTGTGGGTGTAGGGGTTTAGTTTTAGCTCACTTGGTAGGGGCCGAAGGAAGGGGGCAAGCAGGCAATGACAGGAGCTGCCTGCAGCACTGTGACAGATGAGGGCAAGAGGACCTCGGAGTGTTTTCAGCCTCTCTGTGGATCCCAGGCCCCACAGCCAGAACACACAGTCCCTGGAGCAAAGCAGGGGTCTTAGTCCATAGGTCTGCATTCATAGCTGGGCCTGCCGTTTGCTCAGAGGTGGAACTGTGGCACTAGTTCGTGTTTTTATGTAAATAAATAACAGACCCTCGACTGCTGTGTACATCTTTCTTCTCCCCTGCTCCAAATCCACAGCAGATCTGTCCCCAGGGGAAGCTAAGGATGAGGAGGGATAACATGCAATGGCAGGGCACAGCAGTACCAAGCACTGGAAGAAGAGCAGCTCCCAGCAGCAGAGGCCCTGGGAGTCACAGCCCTCAGCTGCAGTTGGGGCCACCCCAGCTCTGCCCTCTCTTTGTGCCCAGACACTCATCTGAAAAGAGTCCCTGAGGCTGGTACAGAGGAAAGTAGAGAGGTATCCCCTCACCCAACCCAGGGCTTTTCTGCCCTGCCTCTGATTCCTGGCCCCAGCAGAGCAGGAACTCCCTCCCCAGGGAGCAGGGGGTCCCCTTTCCCCCAGGAGAGGCAGCAGGGAGGAGCATCTGCAGGAGTCTGAGATGAGCACAACAGTGCAGAAATGGTGCCCTTCCAGCCTTCCACATCACACCCCAGCCCTGCCCCTCATGGCAGTCACTCATTGTCCCAGGGATGTGCTTTGGACTTACCCCAGCTACAGCATTGCACCTTTTTATTCCAGTCAAGGCTTCAGGAAAAAAAAAAAACAAACAAAAAACAAACAACAAAACAACCAAACAACAACAACCTAACCCCACGGCAGCACAACAGACATCCATCACCCCCATCCTCAGTGGTCCTGTCCCCCCATGGACCTTCCTCCCATGACAGTTCACTCCAGTTAACTGCACTCCTGTGACACAACCAAATAGGACAGGCATTTGAGCTAATGGCCCAGAATCGACACTTCAGTTTCCCCCAGGGTAGGACACTGAGTGCTCTTCCTGAGAAGGCTGACAAAGGTTGCAGCCCACAGCAGGAAACTCCATCCAGCAGATGCTCCCAGGAAGGAGATGAAAAGCCAAGTGTGTGAAGCCTTTGCCAGTACAGCACAAGACAGCTCCAGCTTTAAAAGCTGCCCCAGCCTGGGCAGGGCAGCGCTGCAGGGGAATCCTCACACCACATCAGTTCTGTACACTAGTCAGCTAAGACATTACATTACAGTGCTTGCATTATTGGTGTGCAAAGAGTCTTTAACAGTCCCACAGGATTCCTGTTTATTTTCTTACTTCCACCATGCAGTCAACTCAACAGCAGTGGCAAGGGAACGGCTGGAAAACGGACATGGCGCGTCTCTCCCCTTGCCACGTCCGGAGCCACGCGCCGCTGCTCCCATCACATGATGTACCAGGCTGCAGCTCCTGCCACCACCGCGACGCAGGCGGCCAGCATCAGCTGCACCAGGGGCTGCTTGGCCAGGGCCATGGCACCGTGGAAGGGACAGCTGGGTCCTGCTTTACCTGCTGGAACACAGAACACACTGCTAGTGCTGTAGGTCTCACACCACATACGTGGCAGCTCTGTCGTTGCCCACAACCTACCAAGCTTGTCTGCATAGTAAGGGCATTTGCGCAGGTCTCCTTTTCCATCATGGACGGGAAGGCCTCCATCTTGGGCTTCTTCTGTCAGTGACTTGCCAATCTTGTCCAGTTCCTCAAATACCTGCAAGTGGTCACAGCACATACATGAAGTGGGCAGAGGGAGACAGCTTTCACCCATCCCCCTAGAATGACCTGGAGAACAAGCAAGACCCTCTCCTGCCTCTCCCCCAGAGGCAGCACATGCTTCTCACTTAGGAGCACCTTGCAGGCAGTCCTGTGGTGACACCTAGCACGTGCTACAGCTCTGAGAGGGCACAGCCCCTTCAGGAGCATCAGACCCAGGAGCAAGATGGATATGACATTGCCCACTGCTTACTGCCCAGCCTACTGCGGGTGGGAGTACATGCAATGCACTCCCAGCTGCAGAGCCTCCCTGGGAGCACTGCTCCTGGTCTTTTAGGGGTAAGGCAGTCCCTCCAGCTCTGCTGCCAGGGGCTTCCTAAGGATCCTGACAAAGGAGCCACATTTCTGGCCAGCTCAGACCACAGTGACCTGCTACAGGCACAGATTAAAGCTTCCATCCAGTAGCTAAGACTATATTCATCCCCCTGGGGCAAGTGGCAGCTCAGCCAGGGTTTATGAAAGGCAACTACTATGGGGAGGACAAGAGGCTACAGATATTTCTGTCCACTGGACAGTGCGTCAGACTTGAGACAGGAGTTTAATTGTAACCAGTGTGTTTAAACAGGCTCAAACTGTTTGGGGCTGTCTCAGAGAGAGAGCTCTGCTCTCCCCACTGCTTCAGAGCCAACAGCCTATGGGGAATCTGCCCTAATAAAAGGCTCAGTGGTGATTTTGGAGCATGGGCAGGAATTCCTGCCCAACACCAGCCACATCTCCAGAAGCTAGCAGAATTGCTATTTAAATTAGAACCCCAGCCTCCCAAGAAGGAGGGGCTCTGGTGGTCTCAGACCCAAACCACTGCCTGGGTGAGCAGGCTGACTCAATCAGCCTGGACCTAAAACCAGCAGCCCCCCCCCCCCACCCAGGGGCTCAAGGGATTTCATACCTGCATGTTAAATTTGAAGGCTCGGTTGGCCTCTTCCACGATCCTTTCCTTGGTGTTCTTGTCCAAGTCCAGAGCATTCATCCTTGCCCTGTAGAGCTGCTTGAACTGCTGCGCATTGGAGATGTTGCCAAACACATAGAACTGGATCCCTTCGTCAGTACTGGGCAACTTGAGGGCCCTCTGGGCTACCTTCTTCAGCACTTGGCCACCTGAGAGGTCCCCCATGTAGCGTGTGTAAGCATGAGCCACTAGCAGCTCTGGCTCGTTCTGTCCCACATGATGGATTCTGTCCACATACTGCTGAGTTGCCTCTGAACACTGGATCTTCTCTTTCCAGTCTTCTCCATAGAAATATTTCAGGTCTTTGATCAACGCTTCTTTCCGGTGAAGCTCTAGGGGGAAGTACAGAGGAGCAAAGACCGGGTTGTCCTCGTTGCGATCCATTTCCTCTTCTAGAGCAGAGTACGTGAAGTAGAGTGCCACAGTGGCCAGCTACAGACAAAGCACAGTATGAGAAGCCATTCACTACGTCAGCACGTTGCACTTTCTGACTGCCCCCCATGCACTGACCTGGGGTAAACAAGGAGGAAAGCCCCAGGCTTGACACAAAACCAGCCTGGAGAGCCTGTGCCAGGCACAGATCACTTGAAGGATGAGAGATTCTCTAGCTACATTCATAACAACGATGCCTTCAGAGCATGAGCTAAGAATTAGCCTAGTGTTGCCAGCTCTGTGCTCTGGGGGCCTTCCTGTCACCTTGAGAGCAAAGCACAGGGACAAAAGGTACAACTAGCACCAAGAGCCTTGCACTACAGGAGTCTACTGTATATGCCAAGACCTTCAGGATCAGACCCAAAATACCATCTCTTCTTGTACAGAAGAGAGAGCAATCCAACCTGGAGTCTATGGAAAACAGCCTAGTCTTCAGAGGATGGAATAAAGTGTTGCAGCCACACTTGCCCTTAGCGGCCAGCAGATGCATGGCCAGAAGCTCAGCACTTCCACCTATTCAAACTTGTGCTGGGCCAGCATGCTCCTCATCTCCCTATCCCAGACATAGGATAGACCAAGCACAAGTCCTGGACAAGGGCCCTCCTATAGTTTTGACTATGCCACCTAGAAACTTGCCACCCCCTGCACACAGGGCTGCAGGGCCCTGCCTAAGTCTGCATCAGTCACTGGGCATGTCAAAGAGTTGCTCTGCCACAAGAGCAGAGCAACACTCACCTTGAAGAGCTCCTCCTTGATCCGCCCTTTCAGGAAGTCTTTGACAAACTGGGTGTTCTCTGCACGGTCATGGGATTCCTTAGTTCCCTCCTTCAGCAGCTCCGAAAGGTCAGTGGGACTGCAGGCAAACAGGGAGAGCTCCTTTCATCCCACTTACACAGGAATGAGTTGGTTCCTGCTGTGTTTGGAGGGATCCCCCCACTCCCTGCCAGTTTGGAGAAGGTACAACTTGGGATTCCTGGAACCAGGCAGAAGCAGAGGTTCCTTCCACAGACACAGGCACCTGTGTGCCAACCAAACTTGCCATTCCAGGAGGGCTGGCCTCACCAGGGGCTCACATCCAGGACGATGCAGCAATTGCCAAGCATTCTCTGACCCTTGCACCTTACTTTTGCTTCTCATCCATCAATGAGAAGCATTAATACTTCAAAAGGAAGCCTTGAGCATACGAGGAGCAAATACCAGGGCAGGCTAAAGGGCACAGGAGCCTTAATGGTACCCTTCATGGTCACTCTGGAGAAGAAGAAAGGCTTATGTAAAAGCAGATGCCTACAGAGACAGGACCCTACCTTTTCTAACTTGGGTATCAACTGTTGGAGAAGAGATGTGAGCTGAATGGCAAAACAGGGCAAGAACACCCTGAAAAAGTGTATACCAGTGGGTATTCTGCAGAGGCAAGAGAGGCAGCTCACTGGAGCATAGTTCACCTCTAGGGTCATCTTTCAAAACAAGAAGCTGCTATCACATGAGTCTGCCCAGCAAGCCATAGAAAACCAGCTCACCTTGGCCAGGAAGGCACAAACACAACTGCCAAATGGTCAGAGCATTTCTGAAGTGCGTGTTTGATAGCAGAGACTAAAAAATAACTGCTTGCTGCCAGCTTTAGCCAGCTCCTTCCCATCCCTGCTAGTACACTTTCATTAAGCAGATTTACTGCACATATTTATTTGATTAATCAGCTATTGGGAGTCCCCCACCCCTTTTCCGACGAGAAGATCACTCCTTACCCTGGAAGGTCTCCTGCCTTACTCAGTACTGCCTGTGCCACATTGAGAGACAGGACTCACCTGACATTATCATCTTCTGTTTCCTCATAGCGCAACATTTCCCCTTCTCCCCTGTCTGAGCCCTCCATTGCAAACGGTATTGCTGGTTAGTGCTGGAGATTAGACAACCTGAAATGCAAAACCAGAGAGAGGTTTTAGAGGGAAGCTGCATTCATGAAGGGATGGGAATGAAATGCTCAGCCATACAGCAAGCAGCCTCTGAGCTGTTCCACCATGCAGGGCAGCAAGGAACAGCCACTGGCCATTTTCACAGCACACCAGGCACTTTCAAGGAAGCAGTACTGCTTGTTCAGTTAAGTTACCTCAGTGAAGCTTAACACTAACACCCAGCTCACAAAATATTAACCTCAGAGGAGACCTACAACACAGCAAGCAGGCTGCATTAGATTTCCCACTTCAGGATGGCTCCTGGTTGAAAATGATCAGAGACCTCCACATTAGGTACCTGCACTGAAATTGTGAGCAAGCTGCTTTCCACCAGTGCTACCAGACATTTCATCCAATGCCAGACTCTGAGCAGAGCAGAAGGGAAGCACCTCTCCTTCAATCAGGAGGAAGAACAAGCTACTTCATTTCCACAGAGCCTCCCCTAGAAGAAAGCAGTGGTGAACTGGGCAGCGAAGCTCTGGAGTCAGGCAGCTCACAGGGAAACAAACCTGCAATGGAGTATATGAAGAGGAACTTCCAAAGCAGGGACAGATTTCAATGCTTTACCTTTCCTGGGCTGTGCTCTTTACGAAGAGTCAAAACGGCTGCTGCAGATAGCTCCTGCTACTACTACTCGTACTCTCCTCTCCTGCCTAGCAGGGTTTACTTCAAACCCCAAGAAGTAACTGGGTTCTCCCTCCTCTTCTGCAAAAGGAAACAATCTCCACGGATGTAGCAGGACACACAAAGACCTACCCAGAAGCAGAAGCCAGACACCTGGCTTATAGTTGAGCCCCCCTGTCAAGCAGAAATCCAGCCACCTCATTTACAAAATGGACCTGTAGTCAGCTTTGTGCAGAGCAGCACCATCACCTTACAGGCAGCCTTGGCAGATGAGCAAGGAACTAAGCTGCTTGCTGGCTCTTGGAAAGCACTCACTGTAAGAGAGTCATCCCTCATGCTCTCCCACTTGAGGTCAGCCCCCTCAGGGCTAGTAGAAGAGCAGGCAGGCAGCTGCAAGTTCACCAAGCTCAGCACAGGGCCAGCATGAGCACATCATCTGCTTGCTCCCAGCTCACACAAAGCACTCCAGTTATAAATTAACTGCCCTCTGGCTCCTCATCCTGAGTTTCTAAACCCCTGTTCTACTGCCCTCCACGTTCTGGCACCGGACTCAAGCAGCAGCGCTGGGAGCTGGATCTGAGCACCCAGCCCTGGGTGCAGCGCACTCAGTTTGGAGGACACATCCTCAGGGTGAAGGTTTCCCCTGTGATCACACAGCCCTTGGGCTGACTGGGACAGAGCCTTCCCCAAGGGAGAGATTGACCAAAATGTGGTACTTTGTGATGCCAGCCAGCCCAGCGCAGTAACAGAAGTCACAGTGGAAGCAGCCTCACATCTACAGTGCCCTGCACAAGACAGGGCACAGCGCAGCCTCTCCAACTAGAGCATAGAGGAAGCCAGGTTCAAGTGCTCTATTTTCAACTTGATCACTCACTGGACAGCAAGCACCACACCAGGTCAGCAAATGGGAGCTACCTTCACTTGTCACAGCTCCAAATAGCCACCATGGGGAAGGGAAACCAAAGCAAAGAGGCAGAATCCACCCAGGCTGAGCCAGGAGCTGGTCACAGGCACAGAGGAACAGCCTGCCTGCCTCACAGCAGAGCCAGCCTCCTGCCAGTGCAGCTGCACAAGTCCTGATGGCACCCTGGCTTCAAGTCAGGCACTCCTCAAGAAATGCAGATTCCAAATTAAACTAGAGAAACTGGTTCCAGTTTATCTTATACTTCCAGACAGGCAGAGTCCTGGAGGTAGGGTGTGCTGCCTCTGCACGCTGCCAGGCCTGCAGCCACCGTGCAGGGGCAGGTGAGAGCAGAGCTACGAAGAGCACTTCAGCACTGCCCAGCCCTTGGAAGAGGCCTGGAGATTGTTGACATTACATCCAACACAAAGGAACCCTCAGAAATGACTAGTTAACAGCAGCAATGGCTCAAGGCTCCCAATGCCCAGACATACATGGTGTGACTCTAGAGATCATCGTTCTACAAGACACATCTGCTAACTCACTTGACAGAGCCTCTGCACTCACGTCTTGCAACGTGTTTAGCAGCACTCACCAGCACTGGGACTTTGCTCTCCATGCCATAGGGCATCTGGTGGGATCTCAGATGCCTTTACCCAAACCTGTAACTAGTGTTGTAGAAGCACAACCCAGAGCAGTGAATTACTGTTCCAGTAGCAGTGTTTGCTGCTGGAAGAAGGGGTTAGCACACAAAAAGTCATTTAAGGACTTTGGTGCATTCTCAGACTTGTATCTCCCACAGCATTTTTTGTAGATGCTCCATCTGACATCATCACCTCTACAGCAATATGCAGGACAGTGACAACACCAGTCCCCTCAGCCCAAGGTGAGGACAGTACATATACAGGAAAATATGGAAGCTGAGATTTTCCCCAGTACCATCTCTCATCCAGACACCTCCCCGATGAGCCATGAGTTCAGGAGACAAGTCAGCACAAATCAACCCCCTGTCCTTTTCCAGTACTAGGATATCACATGAGAACTGGGAGGAAGGCAAGTCAGAATCACTGCACCTCTTACCCTTATACATCACTTTTATTCAGAAACTGGTAACTGAAAGCCCACAACATGGTCACTGGTCAGGGCCCTTATTTCTTGGGGTCTGCTCCTCTGGAAGAGGCAGTGTCCTACTCACCAAGTAAGCAGCTTGAGCAGCTGCCCACTTCCACTGCAGAGGTTGGAATGTCATTTCATTTGCTTCATGAGCTCTGCTCATCAAGACCTGGCTGATGTTCAGGGTAAACACATACCTTCCCACTGCCCTAACAGCAGCCTCCTGGGAGGAATCCAACAGCTACAAGAGGCAGGATAGTGGGGCTGGAGAGTGGAGACAAGGCTTGGTACAGAACACCTCAGCACTCCAAGCATTTACTTCCCAATAACAGTGTTCAGACTCTCTGAGAAAACATCCCTATCTCATCTAGCCAGCACTTAGTTTGCCCCAGACACATTTCCACAGCAAGCTTCACACTCAAGATGCACAGCCACTCTTCTCAGGGTAGAAAGTCACTTAGTCCCAATAATCCTGTGCCTTTTGAAGAAAGTAGACACTGCTGTTGCAGGGAAGCAGGACTGAAGTCCTGGCTTTGTGTTGGCACCCTTGGGAAAAGCTCAGTAATCCACAAACACCCAGGTGGCATAGAGTTCAAGTTTGCTGTTCTACTAGATTGCAACTTCAAGCTATTTCCCCACATGCAGAACTTATGACCTTGCTTTAACAAGCAGCAGCAGAACATGGCTGGACCTACCCAAGCATCGCTGCAGTGGAGACAAACCCCAGAACCACAGGCCTAGCAGCTTGAAGAGCCATCACAAAGGTAACCTGGCACTCACATCAGAAGAGCTTCACACCTCCTCCTCCCTCTGGGGAGGTATTTGGCACTGGCTGCTAGTGGTAATGGAGCCTCACAGAGTAATTTATTACACTGCCTGATCCCAGGTAGGTTTAAGACTTCACCTGGACACAGCCTACATCTAGGAAATAATTCAAGTCTAAGGCACTTCTAGAGGTGCTCACACAAATGTGCCCCCCAGAGCCACAGTCCAGCACCTCAACATAGTGACCAAGGAGGGAAACTCCCAGTGAGCTCACAGCTCTTGTCCAGTTCTGCATTTCAGTAATCAGCCCTTGTGCCAGGCAGTGCATCAGGAAGCTGTTTTCTCACACTGGCTAGGAGAACAGCACAAAGGGCACATCAGTAAATCAGATTTAGACCTGGGGAGAGTAGGAATGCAGTGTGACAGGCACACATGTACTTATCAAAGAGCCTTTGCTCTGGGGAGAGCCAGTACTTGCCCTGCCCGTCCCAGCATGCAGTCAGCTGTGCCTGGGACACCCCAAGCAAGGCCAGTGACAGGCACTTATAGCTGATGTATGTAAAGCAGTGCTGTGGTAGGCACTAGGAGGCTTGAGTAAGACATCTGTTTCACCCAATAAATGAAAAGCTGGGACAGTAAGAGACCTCATAGGCCTTCGTCCTTCAAGCTCTTTATTGAGCTCAGCAGAATCACATTCATCACAGAATGGTTTAGGGTTGAAGGGACCTTAAAGCTCATTCAGCTCCAACCCCCTGCCACGGGCAGGGACACCTTCCATTAACCCAGGTTGCTCCAAGCCCCAGTGTCCAACCTGGCCTTGAACACTGCCAGGGACGGGGAAGAGCCAAGTGTCCCCAGGCCACCAGCAGAACCCGGCGCAGCTCCTGTCCCGAACACTCAGACATCCTCCTGGAGGAGCTGTGTGCAGTAACGACTGCAGGGCATGAGGCAGCCGCTCTGGCACGCTCCCTCGGCCGCTGTGCGAACGCTCGCTCGCGGGAGCCGAAGGAAGAGATGCGGGAGGCCTGACTAGCGCTGGCCCGGCACAGCCGCACATAGCCCGGCTGCTTTCG